TCACTGCAGTGTGTTTTGTTGTTGTTGTTGTTGTTAGATGTCATTGAGTTGAGTATGACTAACAGCGACTTTGTGAACAACAAATCTAAGCCTTTCCCTGTCCTGCGCCATCCTCACTATCTCTGATATATTTGAGTGCATTGTTACACTTTATCAAGCCATCTCCCTGAGGATCTTTCTCTCTTTTGCTGACCCTCCACCTTACCAATGCTGTCCCTTTCCAATGACTAGCCCTTCTTAACAACATGCCCAAAGTATGTGAGATGAAGCTTTACCATTCTTACTTTGAAGGAGCACCCTGGTTACACTTTCTCCAAGGCATACTTGTCTGTTCTCTTGGAAGTCTATGAAATATTAAGTATTCTTCTCTAATGCCACAAATTAAAGTCTAAGTTATTTATGACAAAACATGCAATTCTGCATGACTATTTGTGTGTGTTATGTATGTGTTGAAGTTCAACATCAAGAAAACAAAGATTCTCACCACTGGGCTGATTGGCAGCATCATGATAGATGGTGAAGAGATTGAGATTGTTGACAGCTTCAGTTTGCTTAGCTCTACAATCTACACTCTTGGAACCAGCAGCCAGGAAATGGAAAGATGAATTGCATTGGGAAAGTCAGCTGTCAGAGACCTCTTCAAAGTATGGAAGAGCAACAATGTCAGTCTGGAGACTAAGGTACACCTGATTCAGGTCATGGTCTTTGCAATTACTTGCTATGCATTAGAGAGCTGGACAATGATTAGGAATTATAAAAGGAGAATTTATGCCTTTGAGCTGTGGTGCTGGAAAAGAGTTTTGAATGTACCATGGACTGCTAGGAGAACAAACAAGTTTGTCCTGGAGAGGGTGAAACCAGGCTGCTCCTTGAAGGCAAGGATTCTGAAGCCCTGTGTGACCTACTTTGGACATGTTGCAAGGCAGGATCAGTCCTTGGAGAGGGACATCATCATTGGGAGGATGGAGGGACTCGATGAGATGGATTGATTCAATCCCTGGGGTAATAGGGATAGACACGTCAGAGACAATAAAATTGGCAAGGGATAGATAGAGCAGGGTTTAAGGTTGTACATAGGGTCGCTATGAATCACAGGAGACTCGATGGCACACAACAACAACATATATATGCTGTTGTTGTGAACCGTCGAGTTGAAACTGACCCATAGCTAACTTTCTAGTGGGTTTTCAGAGGCAATGATTGTCCATCCTTCTCCTGTAGAGAAGCTGGTGGATTCAAACTGCATGCCTTCAGGATTGCAGTACTATGGAATACTATGATGCTCACATATCAATGGAAAATGACTGTGGCTGTGACATAGGCTGATTTGGTGTGATGTTACATTGCCTGAACAGTTTTGAGTATGGTAATGTGATTTTCTGAAATGGTGAAGAACTTTTGGTAAAGTTCTGAAAAAAAAAAAAAAGGTATAATTTCTTTTCCTCAATTTGCATGGTACTTTCTTTTTTTTACAATTCTGTGGATGTTGCCAAAAATCCTTTATATTCATATGTAAAGATGAGTTAGATTTTTGTTCAGATTTTTAGAAACCATCTTAGAAAAAAAAATCTTCCTATTATCCAGCAGGCTAAATTCTGTGGCACATAGGGCAATTATTCACTGGGTGAGAATTCCCTGCACACTGTAGGACATCAATAGATATTAATTAAATTAAATGATTAAATTAATTAAGTGATGGTAGTGACCCCTCAGTCATGTTAACAGTCAAGAAATGCTGCTAAGATTTCCAAAATGCCCACCAGGGGGTGGCACCATGCACCATTCCCTTTAATAACCACAGAAGCTGAACTTTACACCAGGGTAAGTGCTCTAAGTACTGATGCTCACAGCTATTTTAAACCTTAATTCACACTGTAGAAGAATTAGAGACAAAAATGAAGAAAATGTAAATGGGATTGTTTTAATGTTTTAAAGTGGTCCCAGTTGGTTAGAAATGGCAACGGTAAGGTCATTTACAGAGCCATTTTTGAAGTAGTGTCTAGCATATAAAAATCTTTCAGAAACTATTTTTTTAGTATCTGTGATATCAAGAAAACAAAGATTCTTATCACTGGGCCAAAAGGCAATGTGATGATGGATGGAGAGGAGATTGAAACCAACAACACAGCTTCATCTTGCTTGGATACACAACTAACACCCTTGGTACAAGCAGCCAGAAAATAAGGGGACACATACATTGTACTGGGGAAATGAAATCTGCAGTTAGGGACCTTTCCAAATTATTGAGAACTAAGGTGCGTCTGATTCAGGCCATAGTCTTTCCAATTACTAGCTATGCATCTGAGACTTGGACAATGAATAAGGATGACAGAAAAAGAATTAACACCTTTGAGCTGTGGTGTTGGAGAAGAGCACTAAACACCCCATGGATGGCCAAGGGAACAAATAAATATGTCTTGGAGAAGGTACAGTTGGAGTGCTCTTTGAGGCAAGAATGATGAGGCTTCAACTCACATATTTTGGACATATTTCTTGGAGAAGGACATGCTGTTGGCAAAGTTGGAGAGTCAGTGAAGGAGAGGAAGACCCTCAACTAGGTGGATTGACATGGTGACTGTTGCAGTAGGCTCTTGTGTGGCAGGAAGTGTGAGGTTGGCGCAGGACAGTGGGTTCAGATCTTTTGTTCATAGGATTGCTATGAGTCGTACTTGACTCAACAGCACCTAACAACAACATGATAGACATTGCCCTATTTGTTAGTCAACCAGTAGACATGTGTTTGGACTTTCAGGGAGCTGACAATCAAGATGTCTACCCAGGTGACAGGAGAAGGACTGACAGTGTGCTAGCTATGAACTTATTGTATCTAAAGCTGGAGAGGTAACTTCTGATAAACTCAGGAAGTATCTTCTTTTTGCTGGGTAACCGCTGGTGAGTTTTCAGAGGCAGTTAATCGCTCGGGAGGAGATTGTGCATCGTCCCTTGGAGTAACTGGTGGCCTTGAAGCACATACATTTCGGTTTACAGTGCAGTTTCTTGCCATTAGACCATCAGAGCTCTAATTAGCAGACTCGGATACATTTATTTTTCTATTGTTTGTCTTATCCTCCCTTTCCAGAAAGGGAAGAATTAGCTAAAACTTTCTGTTAAATGAAACAGAGTATTATCTTTTAACCAGACATTTGATTTTCAAAAATTATTGTTTGGAAAATCTTCATTTTTAGAATTTAGCTTTCTGACTCTGTGTTTGTACCATAAACATGTCCACAGTGATTTCCCACTTCTCAGTAAGGAAAGTGTACCCAATCCAGTCATAGAGGCAGGCAGTGGACGTGGAACTAACACAGGCCTTGAAATATGCTTTTTATTTTGGACAACCGCACACAGATTTTGATGCTTCTTTGTATAAAGGGAAGCCATTCTATTGCTAGAGGTTCCAGAGAGCTGCGTGGTGCTAGAAGCTGTATTGTAAGGCATCTGTGGCAATAGGTCAGATACTGGGACATTTTGATATATGTTCCTGAAAGTCATTCCATAGTTTTAATAATACATTGGAATGAATGACCAAATATCACTTGCCAAAAATGAGAACTTGTCAAACTCAAGGAATTTGTTTTAAATCAAGATGCATTGATTTATCAAACTTATGAACATCCTATTTCAATGAACACCTGACCAGTGGCATTCTTGGGACAAAGAATTTGGCTCCTTTGTGCATTGAGAATAACATGTATGTCCCAGGTCTCTGTGAAGGAATAGAATATTATAGTCAGTAAAAGAATGCATTTAGCCTTTCTACGAAGATGGCGCCGAAAGCGAAGAAGGAAGCCCCTGCCCCTCCCAAAACTGAAGCCAAAGCAAAGGCATTGAAGGCCAAGAAGGCAGTCCTGAAGGGCGTCCACAGCCAAAAAAAAAAAAAAGAAGATCCGCACGTCACCCACGTTCCGGCGACCTAAGACGCTGAGACTCCGACGGCAGCCCAAATACCCCCAGAAGAGCGCTCCCAGGAGAAACAAGCTTGACCACTATGCCATCATCAAATTTCCCCTGACCACTGAGTCAGCTATGAAGAAGATAGAAGATAACAACACACTTGTGTTCATTGTGGATGTCAAGGCCAATAAGCACCAAATTAAACAAGCTGTAAAGAAGCTCTATGACACTGATGTGGCTAAGGTCAACACTTTGATTAGGCCTGATGGAGAGAAGAAGGCCTATGTTTGACTTGCTCCTGATTATGATGCTTTGGATGTTGCCAACAAAATTGGGATCATATAAACTGAGTCCAGCGGGCTAATTCTAAATGTAATAAATTTTTCTCACCATAAAAAAAAAAGAATGCATTTAGAATGGGCAAGTATGTAGAGACTTTATGAATGAAACTTTATTTATGAAAGTTTATGAATCGTGTTACTTGGGACTGATGGTAGGGAGAGAAAAAGAGGGAGTCACTGCTTTTGGGGACATTAAGCATCTGTTATGGATGATAGAACAACTTGGAAGTAAAGAACAGTGAGGGTTGGACAACATAAAGAAAAAGTTGGTGTCACTGAATTGTCTAGAGGAGCCCTTGTGGCTTAATGTTTTAGCTGGGCTGCCAATTCAAAGGCAGGAGGTTTGAATTCACTAGATGTTCTGAGGGAGAAAGTTGAACAATCTCCTCCCATGGGACTTAGATCCTCTGAAAACTTGCTGGAGGACTAGCTGTGAGTCATTATGACTCAAGGGGAATGAGTTGTTATGATTTGTTTGAATTGTGAAGTGTATTGAAATGGCAGATGTTTTGTTACATATATATTTACTGCAACAAAACAAAAAGTTGTACCTTAAAAAAGGAAAAGGAAAAAAAAATGCATGGGCTTTTGGATTTGATCTGTTTTTAAGTCTTTCCTCTGTAATGTGCTGTCTGTGTGATGTGGGGCCAGTTACTCAGACTGCCTGGGCCTTTGTGTCCACACGTGCAGAATGAGTAAAGGACCTGTTCCCTTGGACTATGGGGCTGAAGGGAAGGACTTTCCCCAAGGCACAGAGCACAGTACATGGCTGGTGGTGCTTGCTCAGGGCACCCGACTTATCACTATGGGGAGAAGTGTGTGGGGTGAGTATGAGCTAGCGGATAAGGGGGGATTCTTATTATCTTCTTGCATGTCACTCAGCATTACTGCAGCACCAGGGGAGGAGGTGCTTGTTCCGTGTAAATGAACTTATAGTTTCAGTATTTTATTCCAGGATCATAACATTGAGAAGTTCATCTGCTCCACCCTCCACATTGTGTAGAGGGATAATCTTGAGTTCCAGTTTTGCTTGAATTCCAAAATTCATGCCTCCAAGGTTATGGAACCCATAGTGTGACCTAGCACTTCTCCAAGTATAAAGACAGGACCACCCGTGTGACTTGAGGAGCTTTTAAAAATGCATATTAAAAAAAATGCATATTCCTTCAAAACAACTATGAGATACCATCTCACCCCAGTAAGAACAGCAAAATTTAACAGAACAGCAAGCAACAAATGCTAGCGAGGTTGTGGAGAAACTGGAACCCTTATTCACTGTTGGTGGGAGTATAAAATGGTTCAACCACTGTGGAAGGTGGTGTGGCGCTTTCTCAAAAAGTTGCAAACAGAGATACCATTTGACCCAGCAATCCCACTACTGGGAATATATGCCAAAGAGACCATAACTACTACCCAAGCAGATATATGCACACCCATGTTTATTGTGGCTTTGTAAGGATAGAGAAACTGTGGTATATTAACACAGTGGACTACTATGCTGTATTGAAAAACAAGGAAGTCATGCAGTATTATTCAAAATGGGTGACTCTGGAGCACATCATGCTGAGTGAAATATCTCAGTCACAAAAGGACAAATACTGCATGGTGCCACTGTTATAAAACAGGACTGACATCGGAGTTGGGGGGAGACTGATAAAGATGGGTTCAATAATGTATACTGCATTGAAACAGATGAGGGAGAAAACTGTTTAAAAGGGATATGTGATTAGGTATTATTGTCATGACAGGAGTCTAGAGTGAAGGCTGCATAGTGGAGTAGACCTGAGGGGAGGGATTGTAAAACAAGGAAAGAATTTTTCTTTTACTTTTCAAAGAGAAGAGTGTACTGGGGGGGGGGGAGGCACGAGGAGGGGTGGACAGGGACAAAAGTTCAACAATGAATGAATGGAAATTCAAAGTCTCTGTAAATTTTCATTGAAATTAATTTAAAAAAATCATATTCCTGGGTCTTATAATCAAACAACTTCATCAGAATCTCTGGAAATGGATCCTGGGAATCTGTATTTAACAGATTCTCTTTAGGTCACTATTTAATACAGTTGAACCCAACTACCCCTCATGGAGGAGCCCTAGCATGCCTAATCCTTTCTATGAATTGTCAGTGGTTCAAATCTACCGGCTGCTGAGGGAGAAAGATCAGGCAATCCGCTTTCATAAAATAAACAAACAAAAATGTAAGCAATCTCAGAAACTGTATGGAGGAGGGTGGCAGTTCTACTCTGTCTTAGTGGAATGAGCTCTGGTGGTTTACTGGTGAGGTGTTGTGTGGCTAATGCAGAGGTTTGAATCCACCTGCTGCTCCACAGGAGAAATATGGATAATCTCTTCAAGTGTGATTTACAGATTCTAAAAAACCACTGGAGAATCATTTCTGAGTCTGTTTCAACTTGAGAGCATTATAACAACAATAACATGACTTGGAATTGACTTGATGGCACTTATGAGGTAAAAGTCCCTATGGAGTTGTGCTGCTAACTCAAAGGCCATGCCTCTCGGGTGACTCTGAGGGAGAAAGGTGGGTGTAAAAAGAGAAGGGTGGAGTTAGGGAGGAGCGAATCTGACCTTTATTAAGTCCACTAGGTGGAGTTAGGGAGGAGCGAATCTGACCTTTATTAAGTCCACTAGGAGAACTTGTCCCCGTCACCAGCATCTACAACACAAACCCAATTCCCATAAGATCAGTCATTGTTGCTCACACTTCCCTGCCCATTTCTACTAATTCAACACCAATTCAACTGTAGTACTGGGTACAAAATCCATTGCAAATATATATAAAAACATCACAGAAACATACAATTCTAGGCTTTCTTAAGGAAGTTAATAGGTTCCAATCAGCTTGGCAACAGGATACACTTTCTCGGTCAGGGTGGCTTTCAGCCTTCAGTCTGGCTTTCGACTAGTGTAACAAAGCTCTCTTAGTCCTACCAGTTATGTTGTTCTGCATCTCAGGCCTCCAGCAAGCTTTGGTGGAAACTCCCTGGCTCTAGTTCGGTGGGATAGCAGTCCCAGGCCAGTTCTATCTCACATGGGGTCTCTGATTCTCAGCTGCGGCTACTGGTGCTTTCTTTAGGCCCTGTTCTGAACAGGGCAAGAATCTCAGGCCCAAAGAACTTGCACTGCATTTTCTGCTCCTTCTTTCTTGCTGGTAGTGAGATTTCCATATTCTGCCACTAACCTGCTCAATTTAAATCAGAGGGAAAACTAGACAATTCTCTCTGGATAGACTAACACATTCCGTTTACATGTTCCTGACAAGTCATGTGGCAAAGTCAAGGGCAATGGCATAGGAAAGCCATTTTGAACAACAGTCTCAACTGCACCACAATGGACAACCCAGGAACATACAGTAAAAGCATTATACAATCACAGCTCCTGACACCTGCTGTTGACCCTCCAGTGAGTTTTCAGAGGCAGTTTCTTCTGCTGATCCTTTGGTGGATTTTCAGGGCAGTTTAATTGCCTAGGAAGAGATTGCCTATCTTTTTCTTGTGAAGCAGCTAGTAGATTTGAACCTCAAGCCTTCAGTTTGACAGCGCAACTCCTTACTACTAGGCCACCAGAGCACCCTATACCTGTAGATCTCCCCATTAGGTTCACCATCATGATACAACTCATGCAAATTTTCTTTACTCCTTTACTCCCCCCTCAAGAGAGCTCTGGTACCTTAATGGTAAGAATTACACTACCAGCCCAAAGGTATGCAGCTCAAATCTACCAGCTACTCCCTGGGAGAAAGATGAGCAGTCTCCCCTCGTGTGATTTATTCACTCAGTGATACACATACCACCACCACCATGACCACCATGTCTCCCAAAGGACAGTCATGACAAGGAATATGTAAAGGATTACTTGAAGTTACAAAGCTAGGGTTTGAACCTAGTATTCAAAAGTCCCTATCCCAGAAAAAGACTTGTATGATGGATTTGATAGTTGATTCGAGGTCGGTATTTTGGGGAGCAGGATGTGATCTCCAGAAACTCTGAGAGAAGGAAGTAAACTAAGAGCTCAGGGGACCAGAGAGGGAGGGGAGGTGGGATTGGTGGACAGAGAGGCCAATCAGTTATTAAGTGAAGGGGCACTGGGAAGAAAATCAAGAAACAACAGCTTATGTTATTTCTTCTGATTCATCTGCTTGTCCCCATTTTAAAAAGAAGAAAACAAGAAATAAAAACTCCTGACTGACTACGTGTGATTGAGTTTTGTGAGCACAATAATTAAGAGTTTTGCTCTCTGTCCCCACAACCAGGACACCAGGGTCTGATCCAGAGCCCAAAGGAGAACCGGTACCAATCACCACCATCAGGACCCGAAGGGGCAACCCCGAGCCCAATGCAGAGAAGACATTGGTCACCACCACCAGGAGACAAAGGACTGACCCTAAGCCCAGTGTTGAGAAGGTACCAGAAGCCAACAGCACAGCACCAGGATCTGATGCAGAGCCCATTGCAGACAAAATGCCGCTCAATACCAGAAAGCGAGGGGCTGAGCCCCAGCGCAGCAAGGAAAAAGAATCTGTCACTGCCATCAGGACACACAGTACTGACCCTGAGCCCAGTGCAGAGAAGATCCTGGGCACCGCCTCTAGGAGGCGAGGGGCTGGGCCCAGCACAAAGAACACCTCTTTGAGTAAGACTGGTGACCCCTCCAGGGGAGTCTCAGAAGATAAAGTCCCATTGCTGGGAACTCGATCCTCAAGGCTGAGGTCTAAAAACCAGACGAAACCGGAGGGCATAGAGGAACCTACTGAGAAGATTCATTCAAACCAGGGTGATGGAAGAGCCCTGCCCAGAGCCCACGCGGGGCCGAAAGAGGTGCTGCCCCCGGAGACCCAGAGCAGGATGAGGATGCCGTCGCAGCAAAGAGGGTCAGAAGAAGATAGTGAGCCAGTGACGACGGGGTGCAGAGAAGCTGGGGAAGGGAGACCGTGGCCTGTCAGTTTAATAAGAAGTGTCTCCCCATAGTATTTTTCTACCATAAAATTTCAAAAAATAATGTAATGAGTTTAAATGTTCATTTTTACATTCCATTAAATGTTTTTGGTTAAAAAAAAAAAGAGTTTTGCTCTCAACCAAAAGGTTTGAGGTTCAAAGTCATCTCTGGATGCCCCATGGGAAAAAGATCTGGAAGTCTGCTTGCATAAAAATTATAGTCTAGAAAATTCTATGAGAAAGGCTTACTCTATCCCATAAGGCTGGCTAAGAGTTAAAGATTAAGTCTATGAAACCTAACAACTCTGAGGTCAGTTTCGGGTAGTGACAGTGGCACTGAAGACAAATTTGATCCAGGCTCATTCAGGACCCAGAACATACCAATCTGGGTTTATCAACGTTCTTGAATGGGGAATAAAAGTAATTTCCAATACCAACTTCTGATTTCATATTGTAAGACAAAACTGTAAAAAATAAAGATTTTGCATTTTCCTAAATGGGTCTACTCATAACATGAGAATGATTAGACAGTCGTAGTGCAAATTCTGGGCATCCAGTTAGTTCTCACAGGATCAAAATGATAGTTTTTTTAAAGTGGAATCAAACACACAAAACTAGCAACAAATTAATCACTCACTTCTGCAAAGACACACACATTCCAAGTGGTAAGGGAATTTGTTGTCAAATCAAAATCTAAAAAGGAAAAATTTATATCTTTATAAGGCTAATTTGGAAATAGGAGCTGATTGCTACCAGTTTTTATTACAAACTACATTCAGATGACTAAAAACAATGTAAACAAATATCCTATTAATTCTAATAGAAAAATAATACAAATCAGAAGTATAAAAATGAACTTTTTTTCTCATTGATGCCTTGGGTTGGTTTAATGCGATGGATCGATACAGTGACTGTAATAATGGGCTTGAGGATGTATCGGATTGTGAGGATGGTGTAGGATGTAGCAAAGGTTAGATCTGTTGTTCATAGAATAGCTGAGTCATAGAGAGAGCTCTGGTGGCCTAGTGGATAGAAAGTTATGCTACCAAGCTTTGCGGGGGGGGGGGTGATTTTAATCTGAGGTCCTCAGACCTGGTTTTAATTGTTTTGGTCAAAAATTTATAGCACTGGTCTGTCAACTTTCTGTACAGAGGTAACTCGTGGTTGCTGTGATGCTAAACATTGAGACACTGATGTGTCGAATGTGATAATGGTTATCCCTGGTGGACAGTGTTTGGTGGAGCTCCCTGATTAAAACAAGTTTGGGAGCAGGAGTGGCATCTACTTCCGATACAGCTTACCTCCAGAAAATCTATGAACTTAGAGAAACAATGAAAGTTAATACAAGCATTCAGGTCTTTCATTCATATGGTTGCTATGAGTCATCTACAGTTCAATGACACCTAACAACAACAACAACAGAATGAAACATTGCCTTGTTCTGTGCTAGCCTAACAATAATTACTATGGCTGAATCCACTGCAATAGCCATTGTGTCAATTCATCTTGTTGAGGGTTGTATTGTTATCCTAAACATTGGTGTGTTTTTAGTCATAATAGTTAGCTGCCTCTGATTTCCAGCTATCTTAACTATAGACACATCGTTTTGCCAATCAGTATGGTCTTGCAAATCACCAACAGATGTGGGATTAGGATAAGAGAAAGAGTGCTTTCCACACTGGGCAGCAAGACTTGAGGCAAGCAAGACTTTTGGTGGCAAGACTTGAGGGAAACTAAAGCAAGATCCTAGTGAGAGCGAAACCTTAGTGGTGACTGTGGCATTGCTGTGGAGAAACTGTGACTAGAGCTTCTTGCCTTTATACTGGCCACAATAAAATATTTGGCTGTTCTTGCCAGATATTTGAAGGAGAAGCTGATTTATAACTGCTTTGAGGCAAACCTTGCTGGATGATTTGGATTTGACTGTTGAACTGAAACTAGAAGCTGGACTCATTGAGGAATTGTGCCTTAGGACGGTTGGGATAAACTTAAACTTGTACTGTGAAATATTCTTTGTCTCTCCCACTCTATAACTTACTTCCCTAGTAAACCCCATTCTTGGTACCACAATTGTGAGTCAGCAACAAAGGAACAAAGCTCTTGCTGTGGCTGTAGAGGCACATAGGGCTGGGCTATGGACTCCTTATCTTCTTTCTGTTCTGGGGAAGTCAGGGGTTATGCTATTCTTACTGCTTCTGGCCCTTTCAGAGAGAGATACTCTTGGCCCTGTGCCCCCATGTCCTGTTTTCTGCTCCATTTTAGACAAAGGTCTTCTGTTGTTTTGTTTTCTGACCCTCTACTTAGCCAAATATGATGTCTTTTCCAATACATGTCCAAAGCACGTGTGATGAAGTTTCACCACCATTGCCTCTCATGAGCATTCTGGTTGTCCTTTCTCTGAGACAGACTTATTCTTTTTAGCAGTCAATGGGATATTCAGTGCTATTCTACAATACCACAACTCAAAGTAATTAATTCTTGTTCTATCTTCTTTATTCATTGTCCAATATTCAGGTGCATGGGAAGAAATGGAAAATATTATTTCTTGGATCAGGCAAAACTTAGTCTTTAAACTGACATCACTGCTTTCTGGAGAGGTCCTGGGGAAAAAAATCCATCAATGCAACATGTCTTTTGATTTCTTGACTGCTGCTACCATGGGGTTGATTCAGAGCCAAGTAAAATGAAATAATTGACTTCAATCTCTCCCCACCCCAACACCATTAATCATGATGTTGCCTATTGGCCAAGTGACAGTAAAGAGCATTTTTGTCTTCTTGGTGTTGAGATAGAATCTATTTTAAAGTCTATAATCTCTGATCTTCTTCAGTGTTTCAAGTCTTCACTTCCATCTACATATTCAGTTGTTATGGGCTATCGAGTTGCCTGTAACTCACAGGGACTCTATGTACAATAGCTTTGAATCCTGCCCTGTCCTGAGCCAGTCTCATTCTCTCTGACACACCTAATCCCATTGCCCTGGTTACCATGTCAATTCATCTCATCTGAGGTATTCCTCTCCTGCACTGTCCCTCCACCCTTCCAAGCATGATGTCCTTCTCCAAGAACTGGTCCCTCCTGGCCACACGCCCAAAATACGTGAGACGAGGTTTCAAAATGGTAGCCTCCAAGGAGAAACTTGATTTCACCCTCTCCAAGACACACCTATTTGTTTTCTTGTCAGTCCATGGCATGTTCAAGATTCTTCTTCAGAACCACAACTCAAAGGCGTTGATTCCTCTTCTGTCATCCTTAGTCATTGTCAAGCTCTCTGATGAATAGCAAGTAATTGTGAAGATCATGGCCTGCATCAAGCATACCTTAGTCTCTAGAATGACTCTTTGGCACTTTGGAGAGATCCCCAAGAGCAGACTTCCTCAGTACAATCTGTCTTTTGATTTGCTGACTTTTGGTAGAAAGAGTGTTGATTATGGATCCTAGCAAGCTGTAACTGTTAACAATCTCAATATCTTCTCTATCCATCATGGTGCTGCCAATTGACCCAGTGGTGAGAATCTTTGTCATCTTGCTGTTAAGCTTCAGTACACATTGAAGACTGTCCTCTTCCTTCTTCCTTGCCCTTCTGCAGCAAATACTTCAGATCCTCCTCAGTTTTGGCAAGCAAAACTATATCATCTGCATGATACAGGTTGTTGATGAGTCTTCCTCCAATCCTGATGACACACTCCTCTACATATAGTTGTTGTTGTTGTTGTTGAGTACCACAGAGTCATATTTAAGCCACAGCTGACCCTCTGGTAAGTTTTCAGAGGCAGTTAATCACATGGGAGGAGGTTTTCCATCCTTCTCCAGCCTCTATTTATGTTGTGTTTTTGTTAAATGCTGTTGAGTAGACCATGACTCATAGTGACCCTAGAACAAAAGATCTGAACCTTGTTCTAGAACTATCTTTGTTTCTCTAATGTTCATAGTTTCCAGAGACATGTAGTTTAGAAAGTGGATGCCAATCCTGCTTCTAAGCCTGTTGTAATCTGGGTGCTCCACCAAACACTGTCCATGATGGGTAACCATCCTAGCATTTGACACTCCAGTGGCACAGTGTTCAGCATCACAGCAACCTCAAGTTGCCTCAATACAGCAAAACTGACAACAGACCAGCTATACCACTTAGAAGAAAGTTCATCCCAGACACAAATAACCCACATTCAATCCACAACAAATCTAAATCTTGCCTGTACAAATGTGTTGTTTTTGCTATGTGTCATTGAGTTGCCTGCGACTCATAGCGACCCTATGTACAATAGCCCTAAACACTGCTCTATCATGTGGCAATCTTATTGTCTCTGACACACCCACTCCCATTACCCCAGTCACTGAATCAATCCGTCTCATCGAGGGTCTTCCTCTCTTGTGTTGTCCCTCCACCCTCCCAAGCATGATGTGCCTCTCCAAGGACTGGTCCCTCTTTGCAACATGTCCAAAGTACATACTTTGGACATGTTGCAAGGAATACAGAATCCTTGCCTCCAAGGAACAGCCTGGTTTCAGCCTCTCTAGGATAAACCTGTTTGTTCTAGCAGTTCATAGTATATTCAATACTCAATCTCTTCACCATCTATCATGATGCTGCCAATTGGCCCAGTGGTGAGAATCTTTGTTTTCTTGGTGTTGAGTTTGACCTTCTGCAACAAGTACTTCAGATTCTCCATCAACAAACGAATGGTTAGATAAGCTGTGGTATATTTGCACAATGGAATACTATGCTGCATTAAAAAACA